CCTCAGCCTCCCAAAGCGTGGGATTACAGGCTGAGCCACCAAGCCCAGCTTATTCATTTTTTTACATTCCAATTTTAAACAAATCTAGGAATAAGAGTACATGTAAAACAAATTTGCTAAATATTTTGAAATTATGCCACCTTTTATCTCAGATATTTCTTCAATTTAAAAGCCATCTATGCTGGTTCGGTGGTTCAGCTGGTAATCCCAGCGCTTTGGGAGGCCCCAGGTGAGTGGATTGCCTGAGCCCATGGGTTGGATTGCTTGAGCCCGTGGGTTCAAGATCCCCCTGGGCAACTTGGTCAGACCTCATCTCTACAATAATTTAAAAATAACTAAATTGTCAGGTGCAATGCCTCACGCCTGTAATCCCAGCACTTTGGGAGGCAGAGGCAAGAGGATTGCCTGAGCCCAGGGATTCGAGACCAGCCTGGGCAACTTGGTGAAACCTCATCTCTACAATAAATCAAAAAAATTGCTGAGGGCTGTGGCTCTGTGGTGGTAAGGAAAGGGCTGGGGAGAGCACTGGAATGGCTGAAGCTTGCTGCTGGGGCAGGCAGCTCACAGGACGTGGAACTCCAACCCCAAAGATACGGAAATTGAGGCACAGAAAATTCAAGTGACTTGTCCAAGTCCCACAGCTTCTAAGAAAATCTCAAAGCACATGTCAATGGATCAGCAAGACCTAAATCCAGATAATACTACAGATGTGGAAGATGTTATAAATACAGATGAAGAACTTACCAAAGAGTATGAAGAAATGTGAAAAGGTATGGAATAATGTCAGAATAAATTATCGCTTATTGGAACTGAGACACTGATTCAAATGCTCAGCTATTATTAATTATGCAGCACCGGGCTCGGTGGCTCAGCCTGTAATCCTGCGCCTTTGGGAGGCTGAGGCGAGTGAATTGCCTGAGCCCGCGGGTTCAAGACCCGCCTGGGCAGCGAGACCTCATCTCTACAATAAATAAAAAAATCAGCTGGGCGTGGTGGCGCATGCCTGTAATTCCGGCTACTCGTAAGGCTGAGGAGGAAGGATCGCCGGAGCCCAGCAGGCCGAGGCTGCGGTGGCCGGGAGTAGCCACTGCACGCCAGTCTGGGCGACAGAGTGAGACTCCAACTCAAAAAAAGAAAAAAAAAAAATTATCCTCAGTTAACCTAATTCTTGCTTTAAAGTATAGTATGTGATACAAAGTAAATTTGTTAATTTTTGAATTAGGTTAATTGTGCAGTTTTTAAGTAAAAGGCAAGAAAGTTATATTCTAAAGAAATGTACTAGTATTTATGGTAATTTTTTTTTTTTTGAGTTAGAATCTCACTCTGTCACCCAGGCTGGAGTGCAGTGGCACACTCACGGCCACCCCAGCATCGACCTGCTGGGCTCTGGTGATCCTTCCGTCTCAGCCTTCCAAGTAGCCGGAACTACAGATGCATACTATCACACCCGGCTAATTTTTATTTATTGTAGAGACGAGGTCTCACCATGTTGCCTGGGCTGGTCTCGAACCCTCAGGCTCAGACAGTCCACTTGCCTCAGCCTCCCAAAGTGCTGGGATTACAGGCTGAGCCATGGAGCCTGGCCTACTTGGTAATTTTTATAAACCGTAAAGAGTTGATCATTAATAGTGGTATTGTGACATTGCTGCTTGCTACTGCTGTCACTCAAATTCTCATTTTTTTATTTTAAAAAATTTCAATAGATTTATCCCATGTCTTATAGAAAGTGGTAATGATTTAGGGCATACACATAACTGCCTTATGAATTTAGGCAATATTATGTTAAAGGCAGGAATATTATGTACAAATGCATGGAGGCTTGAGAAAACATGGTAGATTTGGAAAATCTCAGATATTATAGTATTTTGGAGCTTAAAATGCAAGATAGGAATATGAAGTGGCAAGAAATTAGGCCGAGATGATAGATGGAGAGGTGGTGGATGTCACATCATTAAATGTTTTCCTGTGTGAGGGAATTCAGCTATTATCATGTAGGCACTGGGGAGTAACTGAAGAATTTTGAGAAAGGTGCCATAGTCACATTTTTATATTAAATATAATTCTGAGTTTATCTTAATATCAGGTTGGGCATGGTGGCTCATGCCTGTATTCCCAGCACTTTGGGAGGCTGAAGTAGGAGGTTTGCCTGAGGCCAGGAGTTTGAGACCAACCTGGGTAACATAATGAGACTTCATCTCTTTAAAAAAAATTGTATGTGGCCAGGCTCAGTGGCTTAGTCTGTAATCCCAGCACTTTGGGAGCTGAGGCAAGTGGATTGCCCAAACCTGCGGGTTCGAGACCCACCCAGGCAACTTGGTGAGACCTCATCTCTACAATAAACAAAAAAAAAAAATTAGCTGGGCATGGTAGTACACGCCTGTAGTTCCAGCTACTTGGAAGGCTGCTGCAGAAGGATTGCTGGAACCCATCAGGTCAAGGCTGCGGTGGTTGGGAGTGTGTCACTCTACTCCAGTCTGGGCGACAGAGTGAGACTCAAACAAACAAACAAAAATTATATGTATGTATAATTCTAGTGGTAGGGTGGAGAATTTAAAGAAAAAAGGCAAAATTAGTGGGAGACTGACAAGAAAGTTATGTATTAAGAGAATTCCAGTGAGAGATAATAAAGTCACAGTGGTCATGTGGAATAAAAGGAGGAGGTGAATTTAAGACTGTTTAATAAGAGAGAACATAGTGATTGGATATAGGAGGTAAGATAGAAGGAAGAAGCTAGGATGACTCTTACACTTTGGCTCAGGTAATTGAGGGGATGATGACGTCTTTTGCTAAGATAGAATTTAGGAAAGGGAGCAGGGATACAGGTTAGGGTAAGGTGATGAGTTCTTTTGGACATGCTGAATTTGAAATGCTTGGGGACATACAGGTATATAAAGCTAGAAGCATTCAAATATTAGGATTTGGAGTTCAGGAATGAGATCTTGGTAGAGGTAGAGTTTTGGGTGACCAAATTGTTGTTTTATGGGGAGATTAAAGACCATTTAGGATGGAGCCTGAGAAATACCAAAATTTAGCAGCATGCACAGTAAGAAGATCAGTAAAGAAGACTGAGAAGTGATGACCAGAGAGGAAGGAATAATATCAGCAGAAAATGTTATGTTAGGAGTCAAGACAGAGGGCATTTGAAGGAAGCGAAAGTGCCCTTTGCTCATAGACCCAGTGAGAAATTTTCCTGAGAAGTTAGCTTTGACAATTATGGAGCCATCTGTGACATCGATCAGAGCAGTTTTAATGGGGTGGAGAAGGCAGAATCAACATGACAGTGAGTGAAGGGAGTGCATGAAGGAGACTGAGAAAGGTAGTAGTTTAAGAATAAGAAACATAGAGGTTATGGTTTTTGTTGTTTTGATATAATAGAAGATTGACTTAAATATGGTATCATTTAAATTGAGTTTCCTAGAGGCAGAGCTTGAGGTGGATATTTTTTGGTCAAGTGGGCTTTGTGAAAAGTTGGAAATGGCTAGTAAAAGAGTGAATTGACAATGCAGCACACAACTGAGGGTAGAAACAGGAACAAGCTTCAGAGAAAGCCAGATCAGGTTTTAGGAGCAGATATACTGCAGATGATTGCCTGTAGAAGGGATCTCCCCAAGATGATTTTTGGAAGCAAAAACCTTCTAGAGCCGGAGTTGGCAAGTTTTTTCTGTAAAGGGTCAGATATTAAATATTTTAAGCTCTGTGGGCCATATGGTTTTGTCACAACTATTCAACTCTGCCTTTGTAGCACAAAAGCAACCACAGACAGTATGTAAATGAGTAATAACAGCTATATTTCTTTTCTTTTCTTT